GGTGTTTGGATAAACAGGAGATTCTGTGTGTGTGTGTGTGAGGGGGGGGGGCGTGGGGGGGATAAAAGAGGACACACTGCTTCAATAGCAGAGCAGGTCCGTGGACTAATTGGATCCGGTAATGGCTGGTCAATGTGACTGAAGGGCTCGTTAGAACCAGTACAGCTCCTTGCCTTTCTTGTGCTGCTGAAGACCTGGGAGGAAGAAAGAGAAGCAAAGCAACAATGAATAAAGGCTCCGAAGGACAACAGAGAACACAGGTTGTCATGGAGTCTACTTTAGCCAAACATTCTCCGTTAGGAAAATATGTCTGCAGTGATGAGATGCTCCGTGTGTGTGTGTGTGTGTGGAGTGTCTGTGATGGCACCTATTAAGGAGTGTCGAAAAAATGGTTCTATAAAGGCTGAAAGTTCATGTAATGGTCTGTGTGGACTTGATTAAAGAGTAGTAGCCTTTATGCTAAGTGATTCCCAACCCCTGAGCAGCAGCCACATTAGTGTACCATCAGGATATCATCAGGTGTACCTGTGAATTAAAGAATCCAATTTGACCTAATTGGTCCTAAAGGTATTATTTCATTACTTATAATAAATTGTCTTCATTTATAGATGTGACAGGTATGGGCAGAACTACTTAATAATCTTCCACTAGGTGGCAGCAGATGGCTATAAAAACTTAAAAAGAGAGAGAGACTCAGGAGTTGAGGGGAATCTTCTTTTGTGTCTTTCTTCAATTTCTGTGAAATTTCTTCAATTCCTGCGAGTAGATCAGCGCGCTGTTCAACTAAACAGGCACAGGCTTTACACTGAGTAAGTACTTTATGAGTAAATTAAAAGTAGAAGGTCATTATGTTATTGTCCCTTTTTCTGACACAAATTCCCCAATGTGGAACAAATAAACGACTTCTTAATCGTAATGTAAAATATGTGTTGTGGCTCAAAACCTGTGCCTCATGGGAACGTGCTCCTGACAAGATAATAACGAGTAGATGAACTTTGTTAATTTGATTATTGTTATTTTAATTGTTTTTTACATCTTAGAAGTCGTAGAATTGGCAATGCTCGACTGGATAACACCAAAATGCTGAATGATTATTTTTGGAACTGGAGGGTTACTAGTTATATTTAGTTTTTTTATTTTTATTATTATTAGTTTTTTATTAAGTCATTATATTTATACATTACAGGAGAAACAATTCATAGTTAATCACTGAAACTATTATATTACATATATAATATGTTCCTCTTCCTAATAAAAAACTAGTAAAAAACACACTGTGCAGGCAGTGCGTTTTATTTTTTCTGTGGTGGTTGAGGAGTCCAGCAGAGAGGTCACAGAGCACAGTTTATTTTTGGTTAATATGGAGCAGCCGTCTGGCTGTAAACTTTGGCTGTGAACGCTGGGGAAAGTGAGCCTACTGCTCATTGGTTTTATAATGTCCATAACATCACCTTGAAGAATTTATGGCCCTAACTGCTAGATTCATGTCTTCTTTATTTGATTCGCTGATGTTAAAGTTGTACATCTGATCCCGTTTAGAGGGAACACGAGGATAAAGCAGGACAGTAAATGGAACATTTGATTGAAGAGACTATATGGTGAGAAACATAATGTCGATATAAGTCTAGTTGACTTTCCATTTTTTATGCACAGTCTGCATGTGATTTATCATCTATTTTCCACTAAATGAGATTTCAGTTTAACGTATTTAAAACCTACATGCAGTACCTTTGGTTCTGCAAAGGGTAATACAAGTAGGTTTATATGTATATGTAGGAACATATATTGATATATACATATAAATATGTATATTTATATGTACATGTATGAGTATATTTTTCACATGATAAAATACATGAATATATTAAAATATATGTACTATTGAAGAGCTTAGTATCAAATGCTAATATTTTGGACACTAGTCTAATTTGTTTGAACTATTTTCTGGTGTTGTTGATCAGTTTATGGGTCCTTTTGGTCTGTAATATATTTGACTGTATAAACTAAACAAAAAGACTCCAGGGTTCAGGGTTTCGAGTCTACATTCATGACAAAGTTGGTTTCTGCTAAAGACTGGTTCAGTTGAGTGTTTACCTGCATCCATGTTGAGTGCCATTGTCTGGCTGACGTCCCCTGGTGGTAATAAACCCGGCCAGGACGTGGCAGGTTCTAGCTTGCTCACTTCATAGTGGCCTGGTAATGTAGGCAAATGTGGTGGCCTCACTGTGGGCATCAACAGCGGGCCATAGTGGGGCTCCAAAGCTGAGGGTGAATAGAGTTCGTGGAGGGGCCTCGGGGGCCCATAGGCCTGAGCTTGAGGGTATCCCCAACTCTCAGGAGGGTGAGGATGGGAGTGAGGATGAGCGTGTGGGTGCGGATGGGCGTGTGGATGAGGAAGGCCTGGGTGAAGCCCTGGTGCGTAAGGGTCCATGGAATACGAGGGTGCTCCTGTGTCACAGTGGGAGCGGCTCTGAGGTGGGGAGTAGTTACTGTCCCAGAAGGATGGAGGGAAGCTCCGCCTGCTGCTTGGTGAAGGTGTCTCTAAAAAAAAAAATAGATGAAGAAAACATTGAACAGCCTTGAATGAGTCGAATGTTCACTTATTCTGCCAACAGTTTTGTTTTGGGTTCATCGTATGATTTTTTGACTATTTTTTTTTTACTTTTTGTAGTTTGATTTTGCTAATTATTATTTTGCTTATTACTTTTAGCAAAATGTTTACTTCTAACTACCACTTCTAGGCTAACTTGTAGCTATCCTTTTTAATGAGATATCCTACATTCCACTCTGAGGAACAGTTGATACAGTATGTGTTGATGATTTGTAGTGTTCTTCCTTATGTTGTATTATTTAAAACATGAATGTATTTTTTAGTCAACTGTAAACACACTTGCCTTTTAGGCTTTTTCTATAGGATAATAATATTGTTGGACTAAAACTTAGATAAGCTTTAGCTAATACTCCAGCTAGCTTATTAGCTACATTTGGTATATAGTAGCTTTTTGGTAGTTTTTGTTTTTGACAAATTTTCAGTTTTTGTTATTTTGTTATTTGTTTTTTAGCTAACCTTTAGCCCGCCATTTTTTGCATGTATTAAAAAAAAAACATCAGCTCATAATTGCAGAAATCGTTAGAAAAATGTTATGACAAATTTAATTACAAGTGTCCTCCTTTATTAATAGACACACTAGGTACCAACAAGAACAGCAGTACTACAGTACAGCAGTACTGCAGAACTGAAGCTGAGCTTTTTGAAGCTTGCACTTTGCAGAATCTAATTTCTGCGTCCACTTCTTATAGGCAGCCCACAGATGCATCACTTAATCATTTAATACAGGCGTTAAGGGGCTGCCCAAGCTGAGCATGACAACAACCGCCTCCCGCTGAAACATAGACGTCACTCACATGACTGCTACACCCTGTGGCCCAGATATCTTCCCCATTGGGTCATACTGTCACGCTGTCCTAGCCCCAACAAGACACCGAAATAAACACAACAAGGTTCGAGCAGACAGACAACCAGAGA